GAAATAGAACAATTATTGATGAAATTCATATGGAATCACCAAAAACCCCGAATAGCCAAAGCTCTCCTGAAAAAAAAAAGAAGGGAATGGAGGCATCACGCTCCCAGATTTCAGGCTATACTACAAAGCCATAATCATCAAAACTGCATGGTATTGGACCAAGAACAGACCCACAGACCAATGGAATCGAATAGAAAATCCAGAAATAAACCCACAGATTTATGGTCAACTAATATTTGTCAAAGGAGCAAAGAATATGCATTGGAGCAAAGAAAGTCTGTTCAATAAATGGTGCTGGGAAAACTGGGCCGCTACATGCAAAAGAATGAAGCTTGACTACTACCTCACACCATACACAAAAACCAACTCAAAATGGATTAAAGAACTAGACATAAAACCTGAAACCATAAAATACATAGAAGGAAATATAGGGGAAACACTACGTGATTTGCACATCAAAGACATCTTTACAGACACATCACCCAAAGCAGTGATAGTGAAGGCAAAGATAAACAGCTGGGACTACATCAAATTAAAGAGCTTCTGCACAGCAAAACAGACAATAACAAAAACAAAGAGAAACCCCACCAACTGGGAGAACATTTTTGCACACAACACTAATGATAAAGGATTGATCACAAAAATCTGCAAAGAGCTGATGAGACTCAACAACAACAAAGAAAATGATCCAGTCAAAAAATGGGCAGAAGAGCTAAAAAGAAACTTCTCTGAAGAGGAAATGCAAATGGCCAACAGGCATATGAAAAAATGTTCAACATCACTTGTAATCAGGGAAATGCAAATCAAAACTACCATGAGATACCATCTTACACCAGTGAGAATGGCACATATTAAAAAACTAGCAACAACAAATGTTGGCGAGGGTGTGGAGAAAAAGGAACTCTTCTGCACTGTTGGTGGGAGTGCAAACTGGTCCAACCACTATGGAGAGCTGTGTGGAGATTTCTGGACCTACTAAACATAGAGCTTCCATATGATCCAGCAATTCCACTCCTAGGTATTTACCCAAAGGACACAGAAACATCAATTCCAAAGAACACCTGCACCCCTATGTTTATAGCAGCACTGTTTACAATAGCTAAGCTTTGGAAACAACCCAAATGCCCAAAAATAGATGACTGGATCAAGAAGATGTGGTACATATATACCATGGAATATTACTCAGCATTCAAAAAAGATAAACACATGCAATTTGCAGCAACATGGATGGCGCTGGAAGGGATCATGCTCAGCGAAATAAGCCAGAAAGAAAAAGGAAAATACGGGATGGTCTCACTCATAGCAGGAATCTAGAAAACTTAAATAAGGGACCAGGAAAATGAATAACTATAAGAAAGTGAAAATCAAAATCAACAAAAATCTATGAACCAGAGACACTTTTGGAGGGGTGGGTGGAGGGAGGGAGGGATTGGGGTCAAAATGGGGGGTTGAAATTGTATGGGGAATATAAAAATAAAATTTATTATTAAAAAAATAAAATAAAATATGAAAAAAATAAAAAAATAAAAATAAGCATGTATCATGGCAATGAAAAAAAAATTTGGATTATCTCAAAATTTGTTTTCATGAGAACTTATATAGGCGCCGTTTATAATTAGTCCTCTGGAGGTAAAAAAAACAAAACAAAACAAAACAAAACACAAAGACAGACACAAACAGACACAGAGATCTCTCGATACACATTTAAAATTTTGGTCATATGCATATATTTTAAAACATAGTTATTTTACCAATATGTGTGAAGATACTGAGGTTTTTAATAAGTTAAAAGCTAAAATCTGCACAGAGAATAAATGTCTAATCTTAATTATTACCAAAGACCTTGGGCTCGAGACCACAGCAGTCACGGCAGTTTTTACTAACTTTTTAGATAAGAAAGTATTTTTTTTTGAGTTTATATTTTTAAGAAATGATCCTTTGGTTTTAGGCTGTCAACGCTTTATTTCATTGAGAATGAGCATATTTTAAAACAAAAAGAACACTGTTATAATTGCTGGCCCCGTGCACAGGTGTTTGAGGGAGGCTCGATTCCGTGGGATTCAATGATCACACCGTATTAAAGGAAAAAGGATTTATTGTGAGCAACAGAGGCGATGTGCGAGCAAAATTATAAACAGTGCCCCAAATCCAACCTGATGAACATGCATACATACTGTACAGTTTCCTCAGAAATCAGCATCACGGAGGCAAAAAGTCAGCACTCGGGAGAACAGCATCACGGTGGCAAAGAATCAGCACTCCGGAGAACAGCACGGGGGACGTATGCAAGTCCAGCAGCTGCGAGCAGCAGCAGCTGGGCGACCACTATGTCTTTATCTCCCAAGGTTGGATATGGCCAGTATCCAAGTTCAGGGATTCATGGTGGGCTGGTCAAGTTTCTGCGCACGACACCCCGGAGTCACATAACCAGCCATATTTCTTGGTGGTCCCGGACATCGTGAACAGTTACATAACAAGCCCTATCTTTTGGCTCCTGGTCCCGGCGCTGGCCAGGCTCCCGGATCAGAAGGCCAGAAGGTGGGCGCACATCTTCCAATGTCCCCGGCAAAACGACATTAACACTTTATTTTCCTACATGTCCTTGTTTATTTTTTTGTCTCATTGATCTGTCTGTTGGTGAGAGTGGGTGTTGAAATCTCCTACTACACATGTATTTTCTTTACTATCTGTTTTCAGAGTTGATAACTGTCTGACATATTTTGGTGCTCCTTCATTTGGTGAGTATATGTTGATGAGTGTTATATCTTCCTGATGCATTGTCCCTTTAATCATAATGTAGTGTCCCTCTATGTCTCTTTTTCCATTTTTAGTTTGAATTCTATTTTATCTGATATAAGTACAGCTGTTCCTGCCTTCTTTTTTGTCCATTTGCTTGTAGGATTGTTTTCCAACCTTTTACTTTCAGCCTATGTTTACCTTTTGTAGTTAAATGTGTTTTCTGGAGACAGCAGAAGGTTGGATTTTGTTTTTTTATCCATCCTCCTTCTCTGTGTCTGATTATTGATGAATTTAGTCCATTTATATTTAGGGCTAATATTGATCATTGACATTTTGTTTGTCATTGACATTTTGTTTGTATTTGCCATTTTGTTTGTCCTTTTGTGATTCTATTTCTTGTTTTATTCTGTTCTTCCTATTCATTCCTCTGTTGGTTTTGGTTTTAGGGCTTCTTGTAATATTTTTGGGAGTGGGGTTTTAGTGGTAATGAATTTCTGGAGATTCTGTTTGTCTCAGAAGGTCCTTATTTTTCCTTCACAGAGGAAGGAGAACTTTGCAGGGTAAAGTATTCTTGGTTGGCATTTGTTGACTTGGAGTTTGTTGAATATGTCCCACCATTCTCTTCTTGCCCATAGTGTTTCTTCAGAGAAGTATGTCAGCCTAGTTGGTTTTCCTTTATAGGTTATCTGTTTCTTCCCCCTCATCAGCTTCATTATTTTTTCCCTGTCTTGAATGCTTGGAATCTTTACCATTATGTGCCTTGCTATAGTTGTGATAATTTGGTGTTCTTCTAGCTTCCTGTATGTCTATTTTCATCTGCTTCTTCATGCTTAGGAAGTTCTCTTTGATTATCTCCTTGTATAGTTTCTTAGTTCCCTGGTTTCTCTCCTTACCTTTTGGGATTCCTATTCTTACATTTCCTTTCCTCATGGTGTCAGAGAGTTCTTGAAGTGTTTCTTCATACTTTTTTCCTTTGTACTTCTCTTTTTTTTTTTTTTATATCTGTGTATTCGAGAGTACTGATTTGTTCTTCCATTTCCTCTGTTCTATTTTCATTACTTTCCCCAGGGTTCTTTAGCTCCTCCATTAATCTCTTAATGTCCTGCACTTCCTTCTTTAAAGACTCAATTTCATTCTTTAGTTCATTAACTATATTTTTCATATCATTATTTTCCTTTTTGTTTTCTTTGTGTTTTTTTAATGACGGCAAATTCTAAATTCTCTAGTTGTCAGACAGAGATGATCTTCCATGTCATTATTGTTGAGTTCTGGGGGCTGATTTTCTTTTTGTGGTATGTCTTTCCCCTGAGGGCTTCTTGGTTATTTGTATTTTTCCTTCTCCCTCTTGTTTGTTTTGGATTTTTTTTCTATGCACTGGGCCACTGTGCTGCTGGTTTGGTAGGCATCTCTGAAGGTGCTCCTACTGGGGCATCGAGGACTGGTGGCCAGACCGAGTCTGGTACTGCCACACCAGACTCCACAAGGACAGTCATGCTATGGTTGAGTTGATGGGCGCTGTCCCTGAAGATCACCGAGGCTCTGTATGCTGTGGGTCTCTTTCCCTAAATGTGCATCTTTACCTTTGTTTTGGAGCCTTCCCTCTTCCTTCACTCAGTTCCGGAAGTGGGACACAGGGTCTCCTCCAACAGCCTTCCGTGCAGGCCCCTGCTTTCCTGGGAACTGCTCCCATTGTATTTTCTTAATAGAGAGCTGTCTCAGAGTTATTCCTGGTCCAAGTAGTGCCCTAATCACTGATGATATTTGCTTTGTTTTTCAAGCAATCATTGCCCCTGCTATCAGACCACAATCACATAACATCTTTTTCAAGTTGAGTGAATTCCCAAGATGTCGAATTCCAAGAATGTGTGTGTGTGCGTGTGTGTGCATGTGTGTGTATATAAAACACATATATTATATATGTAGTCTCCCCTAAAAATGCTAACTTCTGAGATGATGTCAGAGGGTTGGTGGAGGGAGCTGACTAGCTTTCCCCTTTTTGCCACATTCCACCTAGGCTCTTCACTATAGCCTCCTACCATGTCCTGTCATGTGTAGGCTGCCTGCAGATAGAAGACTGCCCCCTGTGCTGTCCCAGCTCAGGCTCAGCCTTCAGGGGTCCTCATGAGTCCTGGCCCCTAGATTCCTCCTCTTCCAGGAATCAGTCCCAAAGCCAAGTCCGGAAGACTAGGCCACCATTAACTTCTGCAGTGCAGACCCTCTTCTCTCCTGCTGAGGCTCACGCAGACTCTTTCTTCCCTCAGAAACTCCTGGGTATAGAAGTGGCACAATAGCTGCGGGAGTCACCGGGGCCCTACTGAGCATTCTCCTGGCCACAGCCCTGTTGTTTCATTGCTGGCCCTGCAGGAAATCAGGTTTGTGTTCTCTTTTAGCCTTTACTGGAGTTAGTGCCCTGTCCCTACCCCAGGCAACACAACTTATTGCAACCTCAGTATCTACCATGCCACTCCAATACCCAGACACACTTGAGGGGTGATTTCCTAACAGATGCTGTGGGTCAGGCTGTTTATATCTAGTCTGGTTTACTAAGCCCTATGTGAAACATAAGAAGGAAGTAAGATTTTTTAATAACAAGTTTCAAAAACTAAATAGTTTCTTTGGGCAGTTTCTTTGTTTCCTGTAGATTGGAAATGGATACCTCATCCTAGCTTCAATCCAATGGACAATAAAGGGCTCTGGAATAAATAATTGAGAGTGGGAGCTGGCTAGTTTCTATTCCTATTCCTCCCCTGAAACTTCCCAGAGTCAGAGCCTAAAGTTGCCACCCAGTGTCCCACTGGCCCTACTCTCTGCAGCCAGCCCACAGCTCTTCCCCTATGCAGGGAGAGGGTCTCTCCCAGGTACCACCTGTCCTGTGTTTCCAAAGACTTCTCATCTTAGGTCAGGTCAGGCTAGTTTCAGATGCCAGGACATGTTGTATACAAGACAGGCAGTGAGCCATCACCCATAATTTTCTTAATTGAATTTACTTCCTTCCAACTTACCAGATCCCCGCACTCCCCCCCTCAACCCTGCAGCACCTTCTGTGTGCCCTGGGCTGGATATATGTACCTTTGGGCCTCTGGCCATGAGGGTCCTGAGCACCCCTGAACTGGAGCCTGGGGTTTCTTTGGGCAAGACTACAAGATGTTTCTCAAAGTCCACCCAGAGCCCCTCACTACTCCACAAGAGGCAACTTGGTTGTATTTAGTATCTCCTAAGGTGCTTAACACAATCTTGAGGTTTAATGGCATCTCAAATAATTGCATATTCAGCTAGGATTGTGTAGCATTGTCTCCAGCAAGTATTATGCTTGGCTCAAGCCTATTTCACATCATTTTCACCAAAGTGTAGAACTGGACCCTTGTAAAATGACTTCCCCATGACCTCTAGGGCAGCTCATGTGTAGATTTTGAGAAAGAGCTCCCTCTGCTGACATAATGGTGCTTTTGCTTCATTTGCAGGAGATGGTTTTCCGGAAGACAATGTGAGGTGAATCTCAGGCTTCTGGTTTCCCAACAACAAAATATGTATAACTGTGGGACCACAAAACTGGGTCAAGTAATTTCTCTCTATCCCTGTGGCTAAATGCTCCCATTTCATCATTCCTTGAAATGGTCAAAACCAGGACTTCCTAAAACCCTCTTAACAATTTACATTATAGATATTATATGTATTAAGGTCAGTTTTTATTTGCAATATATCATTTATATAAATGGATAACACCAAAGGTTCATGATTTTCTGGGTTGGCACATAATATCTCTGGTGCATATACCTCTTGTTCAAGGTTGTCACTCTACGTGCACAATAGCTAAGTCTTCTTGATTGTCCAGGGAATTCTCAGTTCCTAATAATCATTTTGGCCCTCACGTACATGTATACTTACCAGACTTTTTGCCCTTAACATTGGTATGGAAAATATGATCTTCTTCTATGGCAGTGTTTTAGGTTATAACTAAAGGCTTGGAGTGAGAATTCAGCCTAATTCTTTCTTGAACTGTCCAGGCAGGATGACATGAAGACATGTAGTCACTACTTTTTATTGATGAGGCCAGCTTTTTAACCTATTGAGAATGACCATTCCATCCAGAGATGGCTGTTCTATGATAAGAAGGATCTCTACCCTTGTTCCCAGGAAGCCTGCTCAAACCACAGACCCAGAGTTTCACTCAAAACACAGTCTCACTCTACATAGATTATTGAATGTCCAGTGAAACCGTGCAGGCTTCCCAGATCACCATTGCTAAACGATGTCCCCCTCCCCCCATTCTCTCTGGCCACCTGATGCTGGTGCATATCGTGATGTACCAGCGATGCTCGTGTGTTTCTGTTTCACAGGATCCCTCCCACTCCATGTGCAGGAGAGCCCCGTCATCCCATGTGCCCTGCCCCAGTGGAACTGCGGCTGTTATACGGTGAGGATCCCCTGTAGGAAGATGCTCCCAACCTAAGCCAGGAAAAGAGAATGTACTTTGAGGCCTGGCAGAGACCCCTGGTCTTCATAAGGTATCACAGACCCAGATATTCTCAATAAGTAATTGCTTCATCATATGTCCAAGAAGAGTAGAGAGGATGCTTAGAAAGAAGAATCTTCAACACATGCCACTGACTGGAACAGCCTAGGAAATGCTGTCTTCTCTTTCCAGTGCACTCCCAACAGGAAGAGATGGCATATTCTGAGATCCGTATTATTAAGCTGGGAGAAGAAGGGGAAGGTAAGCCACTGGGAACTGATTTCGGGCTGCAAACTGTAGTCATCATTCAACACACTTATTGAGCACCTCGTATGTGCTAAGTGCTAAGCACAGAGCGTCAATCCATGAACAAAGCAGATAAAAATTCCTAGTGTTGTGCTTGGATTCTAAAGAGACAATATAGGCACTAAAATACATACCATGCATTCCTTGCTGATGATCAGAACAAAAATTAAACATCCTTCTTATAGTTTGATCATGTAGATGTGTATATGAAAATCGTCCTTAAGTAATGATGAATGTTTACAAAGCACCCACACTTTGTGGTGAGAAAATCTATTTATGTTCCCATGGTCTCTTAAAACTTTATTCTGTGTGGGCCTCCCCGGTGGTGCAGTGGGTTGAGTGCAGCGCTGTGAAGCTGTCCTCAGCCTTTGCAGAGCCGGTTCGATCCCGGCCAGCGGGTGAGGGTCCCACATGGCGCGGCAGACCTCTCCTGTCTCGCCTGCTGCTCCCCTCAGCAGTGTATTTCGGTCCTTCTGCCTGTTCTACTCCCTGCTCCGCCTCTGCTGAATTTTCTCACCCTCCCATGCCTCTGGCCTGCACTCTAGTGCTTGTATAAATAAATAAATCTTTTTTTTAAAAAAAAAAACTTTATTCTGTGGGAGGGTCTTCTCAGGAATTCAAGATGAAAATTTGCAAGGCTTTTGCAACACATTCTTCATTCCCTTAGGTAACAGACAGTAAGCAGACACTTCATGTCACAGTCTCAGTTCACAAGCTACAGCATCGTGGTCAAGATGTTAATTAAAACTCCCACCTCCTCTCCCCTTTCTTCAGGCAGATTTCAGACTGGTAGCTGGCAGTGATGGGGATGAGAGGGCAAACAGGGCAGAGTTGGCTTTGTCAAGGTGTCTGGAACAATCCCCCAGTTCCTGGGTTCTTCTGGGTCTAGACAAGCAAACAAACATTAGACAGAGTAGTAGAGAAAAAGAACAAATGTAATTACATATATGTGGAAAATTTACATGACTTTAAATTCTGTAGTGAATGGTATAAACTGAAGTTTTCCATTGTGAGCTCAGGAATGAGACAGGGTCTGGGGAGTCAAGGAGAAAGGGGGAGAGAGAAGATGACTTCCTATCTAGATGTTTGCCCGACCATAAGATGGGTTTCTCTGATAAAAACTTACATTGTGGAGATGACCCTATATCTGGGTAGTCTTCACTCTTGAAGGCAATGGTAGCCAATTCTCTCAAGGCCCATAGCTTGATTGGGCCTTTGCTCCACTTGCCTGACACAGAGTGAAAAAAGCCTGCCTGGACATCGTGTAGGCTGATCCTACAGCTTTTTCTCTGTTCCTTTGTTTGACCTCCCTTAACTAGCCTGGAGGATGCTGGGCAAAGACTTCCCCCAGCTGGTATTTTAAAGCTGGCTTCAGGTCCTCTGGGCCGGCAAGTGTGTAAGTGGTCACTCTCCTCCATGAGGCGCAGGTGTGGCCTTTCCTGTTAGGTCCCTCCTTCCTGAAGATCCCTTAGCACTGTGATGCATTTATTATTCCAGCAGCTGTCTGGGACACTTTCACCAGCTCAGCCCATCAGGGACTTCTTGAGACCTTCACTCAACAATGAAATGAGGACTCCTCATACTGACAAGATAAAGTAAAGGAAAAGTAAAAGAGTTTTATTGAGGCAAGAGTGACAGGCTCCAAGCAGACTTCTTTAAGGGAGTGCCCCACCCCCCGGAGTTGCTTTGCAGTGGTGGTAGGCAGGCTGGGGGGGTGGAGTGGGCGGCACTGTGGGGGGTCCTGGGGTGGTGCAGGACATGCTTTCTCAGAGGAGCACGTGTCCTTAGCATTCTGACTCTGACGCTCCCCCTAGTAGTGTGTCCGTTAGGTGTTGATGAAGACCTTGGTAAATTAAGGTCGAGTTTTGCTCATCTGACCACGCATGGCTAACCAGCTGCCACCAGTTAGTGCAGGCTTTTTTAGACTTCAACATCCCTGGTTTTCTTGAAGCTGTAAAACATCTTAGGAAAGAGATAATATGAACAGAGCAAGCCTTGCAATGGTAAATTCCTGTAATTTACCATTCTCCTTTGCTCTGATGTGGTTATTTATGGCTGGGCCCCTTTACTCCACTCTCAATGCCCCTGGATGTCCCCCTTCACATCCACACCCCAAGTTTCACTCTTTATTCATAGAGTTGAGGGGAGGAGGTCTCTTCTCCTATAACTACTCAATATTTCCTGTTGGGTGTGTCCGTTGTCCCTCCCTAACCTTCCTGAGTGGATATCTCTAGAAACTTAGGCCAAAGAGGTATGGGGGCCCCCCTCCCAGGACTGGTTGTCACAGACTTGCCGTCTCATCCCAATTGTTTATACCTTTTAATCACAATTATTTGGAAGTTTTAGTGTCTCCAGTCTTTTGGAGACAAAGGGGACTAAATTCAGGAGATGGCGCACAGACCTCTCCTGCCATGCCCGCTGCTCCCCTCAGCAGTGTGTTTCGTTAGTCTGCCTGTTCTGTTCCCCACTCCAGCTCTGGTGAATTCTCTCACCCTCCCGCGCTTCTGACTGTACCCAGTGCTTATATAAATAAATAAATAAATCTTAAAAAAAAAAAAAAAAAATTCAGGAGACAAGAGCCAAAGAAAGTATATACCAATGAAATCAGCCTACCATCAAGGCAAGATACAGGATTTCCTTCCACCCCCTTCATTATTATTACTAGTATTACTATTTGTATGGTCAAAACACAACACAGATAGCTTTCTTAGCATATCTTAAGCCTATGGTACAGTATTACTAATAGTATTAGCTACAGGCACTGTTCTCTAGTACATCTCCAGTACTTATCCATCGTGGGTAACTCAAACTCTTGACCACTATTGCCATTCTGTCCTCCCCAAGTTCCTGTAACCACCTGTCCTCCCATGTAACCACCATTCTTCTATGATTTTGACTGTTTTAGATTCCACATGTAAGTGAGATCACTCACTATTTTTTGTCTGCATTTAAGTTATTCTACTTGGCATAATATCTTCCCAATCTATCCATATTGTCACAAATGACAGGATTCCCCTCTTTTACAAAACTGAATAATAGTGCTGGACATCTGTATCACATATTTTCATCACTTGTGTTGTCGCTTGTGTCTGTTATAAATAGTGCTGCAGTGAACAGAGAGTGTGGTTGTATACCCAGAAGTGTGGTTGTATACTGCTGGATCATAGGCAATTTTGTTTTTAACTTTTGAGGAACCTCCATACTGTCTTTTCCTAGGGGGTTTTATTAGTGTTCCTTCTCACCAAGTATAGAAGGGTTGTTTTTTCTCCATTTACTCACCAGCCAGTGTTATCTTTTACCTTTTCCATGATTACCATCCTGACAGATGCAAGGTTATATCTGATTGTAGTTTTTATTTGCATTTCCCTGATGATTAGTGATGTTAGACACCTTTTCAGTACCTTTTGGCCATTTGTATGTTCTTGAGAGAAACACTTATTCAGGTCTTTTGCTCATTTTTAATTAGGTGCTTGTTGCTATTTCTGTTATTATTTTGGCTATTGGGCTTCTTACATATTTTGGATATTAACCCCTTATCAAATATATTAAACCCTTCTCAGGTTGACAACTATGTCCTCCAATCTATAGCTTGTCATTTCTACACATGGCACCTCACTTGGGAATTTATTTATTTATTTACTTATTCATTTTTATATATATTTTTTTTATTTTTAAACAATATTTACTTCCCCCCAACCCCTCAGATTGAGTCCCCATAGAATTTCCTTCCCCAAGGCACCTGTGCATGATCACCACAGTCCTCTTTGCTCCTCCCTCCCTCCCTCTCACCCCTCTCCCTCCTCCTCCCCTGCAGGATGTCTCTGGTTTATAATTGTCTGTTTTTTTGCTTTGTTGTGTTTTGTACTGTTATTATTTTTTTTACACTGATGTCTTATTTGGTTCCCCTATATTCCTGTTATAAGTGAAAACATTTGATATTTTTCTTTTTCCTTCTGGCTTATTTCACTGAGCATAATTCTTTCTAGCTCCATCCATGTTGCTGTGAATAGCATGAGTTTTATCTTTTTTGATTGCTGAATAATATTCCATTGTGTATATGTACCACATCTTCTTGATCCAGTCATCTATTTTTGGGCATTGGGTTGTTTACAGGTTTTACCTATTGTAAATAGTGCTACAACAAACAGGGGTACAGGTGTTCTTTGGAATCAATGCTTTTGTGTCCTTGGGTAGATGCCTAGTAGTGGAATTGCCAGGTCATATGGTAGCTCCATTTTTTTATCCATTTTTGTTTTTAGTAGACTGAGGAAATTCCCGACAGCTTTCCATAGTGGTTGGACCAGTTTGCACTCCCACCAGCAATGTAGGAGAGTTCCTTTTTCACCACATCCTCGCCAAAATTTGTTGTTGCTTGTTTTTTTGATATGTGCCATTCTTACCTGTGTAAGGTGGTATCTCAGTGTTGTTTTGATTTACATTTCCCTGATTATAAGGGATGTTGAACATTTTTTCATATGCCTGTTGGCCATTTGCATTTCCCCTTTGGAGAAATGTCTTTTAAGTTCTGCCCATTTCTTTACTGGATTGTTTATTTTGTTTTTGTTGAGCTGTGTGAGTTTTCTGTAAATATTTGTAATCAGTCCCTTATCAGTTGAATGGAGTGCAAAGATATTTTACCAATCAGTGGGGTGTCTCTCTGTTTTGGTTAATGTCTCTTTTGCTGTACAGAAGCTTTTCAGTTTGATGTAATCCCAGGTGTTTATCTTTGCCTTCACTATCACTGCTTTGGATGATGAGTATTTAAAGATGTTTCTGAGACGTATGTCTTGTAGTGTTTTACCTATATTTTCTTCTATATATTTTATGGTTTCAGGTCTTATGTCCAGTTCTTTTATCCATTTTGAGTTGATTTTTGTGCACGGAGAGAGGTAGTGGTCTAGTTTCATTTTTTTGCATGTGGAAGTTCAGTTTTCCCAGCACCATTTATTGAACAA